GAAACCGATGATAGAATCCCCACCTTTTGCAACAACCCTGGGATTACCGGTGCTATCCCGATCACCAGAGCTACCAGTGCTGCCAAATTGAAGCCTCCACAATAGTAATATGCCCCACCGGGACTTATAGAATACAAGTCCTCCAGAATTAATTTGGTTCTTCGAATAAGATAATAATCTGCTAATACTATACCGCCGATGGGACCCAGCAAAGCCGAGTACCCGACTAGCCATGTGTATATAAAGCTCTCACTAGATTTCAGCAGTCTCCAAGGCTGAAAAGCAATGCAAAGCAATGCGGTGAAAACAGCACCCCTCCTGAATGTGAAGTTGGAAGGGCTTAGATTGACCAATGCATTGCTGGTGCAACAACATTGGCTGAAATGTTGGTCGTCATGGTGGCTAGGCTTATTCCAACGATGGCTAGTACCATTGTCGTGAACCCCCCGATTCGACCAAGAAGCTGAATTGGATTAGAGATAACATGGCCGAAGATTACTTGAGTAGAAGATGTTACTGCTAGACCGACAAATGTAAATGCCCCCATGAAGATCGGAAGGCCGGCTTGACCGATGATTTGATCCCTCTGAGTCTTGGCAAACCGAGTGAAATCAGGGATGTTAAGTGCTATAGTAGACCAAAAGCTTATATTTGCTGTGAGTGAAGGGAAAAATAGTGACCAAAACTCAGTGGTGGATAGCCTAGAGGATATGGTTAGCATGTGGCCTAAACCAGCAGCCTTGACATAAGCCCAAACAAGAAGAAATGATGTGAGTATCATCAGAATTGGTGCAGCGTACTTTTGGAAGACTTTAATTCCTTCCATCCCCTTCCAAACTACGACCAACTGGGCCAACGAGAAGGCCACAAAACAAGCGAATTCAAGAGGGGAAGTGCCGAGCCATGGTAAGACGTGGGAGAAGCAAGATTGTTTAATGGAGTTTGGGAGAAAAAGGTGGATTGCCTCACCTCCTATCCAACTCTCAATCCCGTACCAGCCACAACCGACCAAAGCAGTAAGCGAAGTAGGAACATGGGCACCACGGATGCCGAAAGACGATCTCGCCAAGACAGGGAAAGAGATTCCGTATTTGGTGCCAGGGTGACCCGTGAGGACTAATGGGACTAACAGGATCACGTTGGCAGCAACAACAGTGGCAATCCCTTGCCACCAAGCCATCCCGAGATCGACAAGACTACCGGCCATGTAGTACGCTGGAACACCAACGACAATACCAATCCAATGACTTGCCAGTCTCCACCAGTGGTAATTCCTTTGACTCGGTATTGTTGGCAAGAGATCATCATTGGTGAGTTTTGGATGAGGATCAAACTCGTGGAGCCTTTTTCCAACACTGAACCGACCAGAAGATGATGATGCCCTGGGAGTTAAATTTGAATGATGAATTTGATTGTGGGTGGTATTAAATTTGCATAGAGAAGTGGTAGAAAGGCGCGGGAGTTTTGGATATTGAGGAGTTGCAGAGTGAAGAGAGAGGTGGGGATGGAAGATGATGCATTTGGAAGCCATGACTCCTAACGCTCCAAATTGGTTCCAATGAGATTTTGAGGCAGAAGATAAATCAGATGAGTGGTTAATACAAAAATTCCAAGGTTAAGTGATTTAATATTATATAAGATCTTAAACCAATTGCAACCTTTAGATGGAATATATTAATCTGGACCACTAGAACGAAAATGAATATAATTAACCGGTAAATAAGAAATGGAATAAAAAAAAAAAGTAAAAAGTGGGGAGGAATAGTATATATATTCATCCATAGAAAAGTAATGGTTTCTTTTATTTCAGTTGTAACCATATGGTATCATTCGGTCCAGAGTTTAACTTTTGAAATGGAAACGGAGAATATATTAGCATATAAAGTTTTTTATATTCACTTTGAACCAATTAAATAGTTTCATAGTTAAAAAAAATATTATTTATGTAAAGATTTTAAATTTATATAATTATATCTATAGAATACATATATTATCAATGATTAAATAAAATAACCTGAGGATTTGATCCACGTCGTAACCTTGTACGTCCATTCTAATTTTTGTTGGCTTTTGAAGCAGGAGATACACGTGCAGAGCTGGACAAGAGTTCATAAGCCAAGACCCTTTAGCTTTAGTATGCGTGTCAGGCCGTCATTGGTAGCTTCAAATATCGTTGAGAAAATGCTCGACAAGCCCATGGACGAGAAGAAGTTATTGCTTGGTCGAAACACACTTTTAATTACGAGAATATGTGGAACATGTTAAATACGTTATCAATAAATTATTAATGTGGAGGACGTTAACTACATTATCAATATTATTAATAAAGTATTAAAAGTAAATATAATTGTCATATACTTTTATAGACTACATGAAATATTCTACTTGAATATTTCATAAATTCAAGAAACTTACTCGCAAGGAAAGCAATCTTATAGAACCTTTTGATGAATATTGGTAATAACCGGTATGTTTAAGAAAATATAAACCTTCAAAATATTTCGCAGTGATTTTCAATTCTATCATTGCTTGAATTTTTTATGAATCTACTCGAATATCATTCTAAATTATTATATTGCCTAAAAATACAACCTCTAATAATCAAACTTATACTTACTGAACTTGCTAAACAATTGTCCTCTCGAAGCATCCGAATCACGATACAAAGATAATAATCATGATTGTCCTCCAAATATTAAGACTTCGTATATAAAATCTACTACAAATGGATCTAAATAAGATTGAAATATTTAATTTATCAAATCTATAAATGATGTGAGTGCATTTGTGAGCCCAAACTATATTACAAAAAATCATAATGGTTATATAATTTAGAATGTTGTCTTTAAAATATATCTTCTTTAAGTTTAAAATTATAGTATATAGATCTCAAGTTGATCTTAGAGTACCCCTCAATTGATCAAACAAATCATCGATCCTCAAAGCGAGTATGTGTTCTTTATAGTTCCTTCGTTAAGTTGTCGTAGTTCATCATCTCATTGACCCACTTTTCTTTTTAAAGAACAATAATTACACTCCCAAAGGCGATATATTAGGACAGGTGAAGCCCTAATCAAGTAACTCATGCAACCGAGTATTTAATTCCTCCAACTCCACTGATGCCATATGATAAGGAATAGTAGCTGCTAGAATAGAACCTGAGCGTAAATCCCCATGCAATAGGGGCAACTTTCGTGTAGTTTGTGATTGGATGTAACTGTTACGATTTTTTCTCGTAACAATCTTTTTCTTAATGTATCTCCTCTTGTTCCTCAATCTTCGGAGAATGAGGCCTTGTATTATTGTAAGTTCTATGTTCCGAACATTTCTTGAAAGTCGACGACAAGTTTTAAATCTTAATGCGGGCATTTTATATCTCGGTTTTTCAGTCTTTTTCACCACAAAAAGGGCTATGGGATTCGAACCTAATTCTGCCAAAACCCCCTTAGGGTGCGTTTGGTTCACAGAATGTAAGATTACCAGTGAGAATAAAAGATTACCAGAGAATAGGATTACTGGGAATGTTACATTACTGTGTTTTGTTAATTTGGCAGGAATGTAAGATTACAGTGTTTGGTTGAAGGAATAACAGATTACTGGAATGTATATTTTATCAAATTGTCTTTGTTCTATATTTATTTTTTTAAGAAGTGAAATTCTAAATATTTATATAAAAAATCTATTTTTTTGATAATATATTACTTGAGTATTTAAATATATCATGTATTATTTTAATTTTAATTAATATTAAATTTTACATAATTTATGTAAAAATATATTAAAATGAGTTTTTGTTATGTAACAAATGAGATAATACTTGAGTAAGAATACAAATGTAAATTAAAATTCAAACTCTGTATCTTTATTTTGAGGAATTATGATTATCAGTTTTTATTTTATTATAACGAGAACCACATTACAAAATATAGCTAGCTAATTCATTAAAATCTTCTTGGATGGTATTCACATGAATTTATTCGGTTGAACAAGATGACAAATACAGTGTAATGGAAGTTCATAATCCTAATCCCACATGAAGATATGAGTTTTTGTTCACTTGATTCTTGGTTTGTTAAAATAAATTTATTTAACTTCCTAAAAGAAGGGAATTACTTTTGTTTTGTTTTGTTTTTGAATAAAGAATCAGCTATCAAATAAGTTAAATAATTTCACGCTCACTTCAAACTTATCGATTAATTCAACAATTAGAAATACAAAGAAGCAGTTGCAGTTCATGTTTACTTTTTCTCAGACCAATAAACATTTTTCAATGAAAACATGTGTGACCACGTTTATGGCATACAATTGAATGTATTCAAAAGGAGATAGACTAGTGCTTCTGGTCGGAACAGCAGTTAATCAACTTAAGCTACAAACTTTTTGATTCAATTTTGCTGTCGTTTCTGAACTGTAAAGTTAATTCAACAATCATGAACATAATTTTAAAGAAACATCTGCACATCATGTTTATTTACTAAGACCAAAAAATGGAGCAACCAGAATATCATTAAGAGTTAAATTTCAATCCAATTCAAAAACGAGGCCTCCACTTCTTATCAAAAAAAATCCAATCCAATTCACGTGGGTAGGTGTTACCCAGAGTTTGACATGCCTTTTTATTTTAAACCATAAAACCTACTAATAAGCATGATAAGAAGGGTTATACTTTTTCCTTGAAAATTTTAAAGCACATACTGACAATTACAATTCTCATGAGTTGCCTCACTTGTCACCTCTAATGTTGTCCAAACACATGAAAACACTAAATGAGCATGCTTAATGAACAAAGCATTAGTAATAAGCTAAGAAAAAGCTTACACTATAAGCATTCCAGCCTGGAACAAATACCATCCCTTGGGGTAAAATCAAGGGTGCATAACTTGATGGACCTTGCCAACAGGGGCTAGGAATGAAAGATGCTATTGACCAATTTGTAATTCCTCCTGGATATGACTGTTGACCAGGAGTGGCTGGAGAAGGGATAGTTTGATAAATAAGAGAGCCACTCAATGAAACCATCATATTAGTTGGTTGAGGATGGTGCAATTTACAAGTGCTCCCAAACTTGCATTGTCCAGTTCTTAGATAATAAGCACACTCAGTCTCGTCCTGTATGAAGGAGAAGGAAAAGGAAAAGGAAAGCAAGTTACACTAAGACTATGAATCACCAATTACCACACAAAAAACTATATGTATCATTGAAGAAATACAGCTTGCCAACAAGGTCCAAACTTACATAACAACCAAACAATTTTTTTAGGCTAAAATGGTCCAAACTTACATAACAATCCATATTTAAAGTTGAAACCAATTTCGTAACTCAAAACTGAAAAGAGGAAAGCCTCTCTTTGAGTAATAGCAAGTGATAAAGATTTTAATTTATCCTCCTTGTCTATATATGTGCATTTTTCATATTGGTTCTAATCTAGATGCCATTAATTTCCGGGTTTTTTTTCAATTAATCCAATTAGAAAATTGTATTTTTTTCGTTTAAAATGAAAAAGAGACAAAATTGAAACCAGAATGACATGGATATTGACATAATCTTGCATCATTGTAAAATTGTATTTTAAGGAGTAAAAGGAAAAAATAAAATCCAAACCGGGCGAAGAGGGTAGCCCAAAATATTTAAGGAAACTCTCCCAGCTATCGATGCTTTGTCTCTAGGATGGTGAAACTTGCATGTAGCTCTAAATTTGCAAGTTCATGTTTTCAGGTAGTACTGCAGAGCAGTTAAGAGGAAAACGTCAGTTGTTGGATCCGAGCATATACGAAAAATGAGAACCAGAGAGTCCTATAATTGGACACGATGCAGTAAAACCAAAAGATTAGCTTCTATCGAGATCGCAGTTTAGCTTCCATTGCAGTAAAAGCAGGAGTCAGAGTTATCCAGCCTTTGCAGAATGGAAAAGAAGAAAGCAAATACTAGAAGAAGTCAGTCTCCTAGTCAAGTTGACAGTTCAGACTAAAGTTTGACTGCTAAGTCAAACCACTAGAAGAGAAGTAAACCTTTTCTCAACCCAATTTATTAGCATATTTCTATCTTCTTAGTTTCTTTATTTGTTTATTTCCTTATACTAAGATCAAGTCAATATTCCATCTGTCTTTATGAATCGCTTTTGACAACAAGAACCTTTGAGGCAAAAGCAGAGACAAAGGAGGAAGAAACCACATACAATCTTTATCATCAACAATCTATGTTGGTTATACTATTATTTTCAATAAATTTTCCTTTAACCTAAAATTAGTCTCACTCTATTCAACATTCAGCAGGATTTGTCCCTAAATCTGAAGTAATCCTTGTTTTATTATGAACAAAATTAAAAGTAGCAGGATTACTCATTTAATTCTAGTGAATTATCTATGTAGATGTGAACAAATTATGCACTGCAAAACTAATGGATCCAAAAGTGAAATCCACAAAAATTGTGTACTTTGTGGACAGGAAAATGAATAAAGCAATGTAACATTATGAAGCAAAGTCAGAGAAAGTAAGAGTTTCATGTGATTTCTGGATCCTCACGACAGAACTAGTACTCACAGTAAGCTTAAATCAAAAGTATGGAGGTTGAATTCAGGAGAAGTTGTTGAAACTAGACAACCAGGAAAAAATCAAAAGCAAAGGAAAAATTAAAAGCAAAGGAAAAGAATCAAAATCAAAATCAAAAGCAAAGTAACATTACTGGGAAATTAAAAGAAAATGAGTGGAGGAGAAATCTTACTAGGAAAAATTCTCAACAAAGGAAATTGGACAGAAGCGAGGTCACGGGGAGAAGATGAGAAGAAAGGGTATTTTAGCTCAAATGCCCGGGAATAAATAAAAACCTATGTAATGTGTGGGAATGAGTAAAAAGGTAAAAAAAATACTATTGGCAATGAGATAATACCCTCAAGTGGGAATCTTTCCCATCCAAACGTGGGTATAACAGCCCGGGAAAAGAAAATTCCTACCAGTAAACAAGATTTCCACAATCCAAATGCCCCCTTAGGGTGTGTTTGGTTGGGGGAATGTGAGATTCCCATGGGAATGAAATCCACATTCCCCCGTTTAGTTGGCCGAGAATGTCATTCCCGGTAATCTTACATTACCAATAGTAGATTTTTGGGGTATATTACTGGGAATGTCATTACCTCCCTTTCCTTAGGTATTGTTGGATTACCGACGTTTTGGACTAAAATGCCCTTAATTTTGTTTCTTTCAAAAATATCATTATTCTGTCATTGAATAATAAAAATTCTACGAAGGTTAAATTACAAATTTATCCTTTAATATTTTAGATTTACAAAAAAAATCTATAATTAAAATTTTATATGAAGTTCATGGGTAAAATAAAATTTTACCCTTTCATTAAACCTTTTTATAATTTCAATTTTGTAAAAAAATATAAATTTTATGAATTTAAATTTTTTAAAGAAAATATATAAATATTTTCCATCTTGTTAAAAAAACAAATATATAATAAGGATAATTTGGTCAAATATACATTCCAATAATCTTTTATTCCTTTAACCAAACATGGTAATCTTACATTCTTGCTAAACCAACCAAACACAAAATACAACATTCTCAGTAATCATATTCCCTGATAATCTTTTATTCCCACTGGTAACCTTACATTTCGTGAACCAAATGCACCCTTATAAGCAAAAGCATGAATGAAACTGGCATACCTTTCATCTACCTCTCTTGCTTCTCTTATGAAATTGATAGTTATACTTTGATCCCAAACTCTTAACTCTCTACCCAAATGTAAACCTAGAAACTCCTCAAGAAATATATTTAAAAATTCATTATTCGTCTGAAGATCATCTAATATAAAACTAAGAACTTCCATAATATACATAAAAAAATTATTCACAATCCTAATCGATTATCATTCAAGATACCATTGTAGAAACTATTAATCTCACTTATTACTAATACTTTTGTATTATCTACCCACAAAATTTTCATTACCTCATCCTATATCTATGACCAGCATCGTGGTTTGACAATCAATTTATGCTCAAATCACATTAAACTCTCATAAGGGAAATTTCGTATTGGATCCCAATCGAGCATCTATGATAGACTTTGTATACTAAAACATCAAGTTCCAATGGGTTGGACACTCAAACTCCCACATCTTGGTCTTCTACTAAGCTACCACTCTCTCAAATGATTTTACTACGTATATAAGAATATGTAGACCTTAGTCCACTAAAGCATTGGTAGGAACTGAAAATAATATAAAGATATTTTAATCATGTTGATATGACTTATGCTCACGTGATCCACTAGAATTAAATTTATTGTCACCTAACCATGTTCATCTAGCCTGCTAGCCTACGAATAGTCATCATATCTCTATATCTAACATTGCCATTAAGAGTGACTATAAAAACTCTTAAACAAGATTGAGAGAATGGATGCGACCTAAATAAAACCACCTCACTTTCACTTATTTCTCTACCTCCTCATGGAGACAAAGAATATCAACACCGATCAACGATTGATTCCTTACTGACTGTGATTCTCCCTCCAAACTAAAAAGAGTGAACCGACTATAATCATCCTAACTCATTTGATATCATCAACAAAACTCAAAGTTTATTTGAATATATAACAAACCATATGACGACCTTTCAAGGGTGCATAGTATCGTGACCGTCCCTTTTATGGGGCCACAACCGGGTAGGTACGCCAAGGCCAACCATGTATAGGGCCTAGTGGCAGGGTAGAATAAGCTTGTCCTCTTTTCAAGCATTTTAATGTTTTAGGTAGGGAGTGGGGGTATGACTTACTGTCCCCTGTTCGAGCATTTCAACGTCTATAGGGGAGAGGGGTATGACTTACTGTCCCCTGTTCGAGCATTTCAACATCTATAGGTAGCATTTCTGTTATTTTGTTTTTGCATATATGTAGGGGGTGGACAGCCGGCAGAGTTTGGGTTGATCCACAGGTAAAGGTACGTGTCTTGTGAACACCATCGAGGGCCGCCCCTACGGCCTAATCGGTGGTGTGGGTGAGTCTTCTGTAACCCGATGTTTCTTTTATTAATAAAAAATTTTTCTCTCGGAGAAGTTCGGGGGTTGAGGTGTGCATCCGCTATGCCCCACGAGCTCGGATTATTGGTCGAAGGACCATGTGGCTATAAAGATCTAACGCGATGTTTGTTTATGCCTGATCAGATCTACGAGATTAAGGCTGAATTGGTTGGGAAGCGTCCCTTTCGAGTGCCACACGGATTAGCAACCGAACCAACTAGGCTAAGTCCGTGACACTTGGTATCAGAGCACAGAGGTGCGTGTTCATTTACTAAAAGCACGGAGGTGCTCATTTTGTTGAGTAAAAGCACTGAGGTGCTTGATTTTAGATTGTAGCACAGAGGTGCTCAATCATTCCAATGCACAGAGGTGCTAGAATTTAGATTGAAGCACAGAGGTGCTCAGTCATAGTTGGCTGCACAGAGGTGTCAGTCCTCGATTGAAGCACAGAGGTGCTCAATCATCTTAGCTACATAGAGGTGTCAGCTCCCGGCTAAAGCACAGAGGTGCTCAGTCATTTTTTTTAACTGCACAGAGGTGTCAGTTCTCGATTGAAGCACAGAGGTGCTCAATCACTTTTGGCTACACAGAGGTGTCAGCTCTCGATTGAAGCACAGAGGTGCTCAATCGTTAATTCTAGCACAGAGGTGCTATGGATTCAGCACAGCGGTGCTCTTTTCCTTCCTAATTTAGGCACGATTGTGCTTATTTGTGTTGCAGGCATAGAGGTGCCAGCGAGTTACAAAGAATGGTTCGCACACGAAATGGCGGAGCAAAAAGCTCTCACAGAGGTGTAGAGCAGGAAGTTACTGAGTCGGATGCACCGAGAATGGTTCGCACACGAAATGACGGATCGACAAGCTCTCACAGAGGTGTAGAGCAGAAAGCTACCGAGCCAGTTGTGCAAGAGACTGGTTCGGTTGATCGACGGAAGCTAGAAGAGATCGAAGCCGCACTAGCTGCCCTTAGAGCTCATATGATATCTGGTGATCGTATGAGGAGAGTAGAGGAGACCCAAGAAGATTTGCTCGAGACAGTGACTGATTTGGGCAATGAGGCAAGAGATGCCATAGGCGTGATACAACTTGGGTATGGTGAGCTAAAGGCTCAAGTCAGTGTGCTTCAGGGAGTGGTAGCTAGTTTGATCGCAAACCCTGTTGAAAGAGTGGGCGTACGAGCCAAGATCCCTGATCCTCAACGCTTTGATGGAGCGAGGGATGCTAAAGAGCTTGAGAATTTCTTATTTGACATAGAACAGTATTTTCGAGCTATGCGCACGGAGTCTGAGGAAGATAAGGTGGCAATGGCTTCGATGTATCTAGGTGGTGACGCCAAGTTATAATGGCGGTCCAAGTTCAAAGATGGAGTGTGCTCCATTACGACTTGGGATGCGTTAAAGAATGAGTTGAAGACCTCCTTCCTCCCCGAGAATGTTGATTACAACGCTCATAAGAAGCTAAGGGAATTATCCCACACTGGGACTATACGGGAGTATGTGAGAGAGTTCTCAACCTTGATGTTGGATATAAAGGATATGTCAGAAAGAGATAAGTTGTTTCATTTTCTTGAAGGGCTCAAGCCATGGGCTAGACTCGAGTTGCAGAGACAGAAGGTTCAAGATTTGACAGTAGCGATAGCTGCTGTCGAGTGCCTTAATGATTATAACGATCATCCTGGAAAGCGCAAGACGC